TGGCAGGGCTACACAGCAGTTTGGACATTGCCAATTTGCTTTCAACTGCTTTGTGTGGTTTCTGAGCAGCCAGGGATATTATTAGTTGGTTCAGTAAAGCATGACCACACTATTGCTAGTAACAGGATGTAGAGACATAATGATTTCTTAGGAAGCTTCCCACTTTTCTCTGCAGCTTCTCTCCTTCTGACACTTACAGAGTCTCCTGCTGGCAGCCTGCATACCTTCAGATGTTTTCACACACTTCCTCATGTGCGAAGTGCCTTTCTCTTTAAAAACCCCTGCAAAGCTGGTGTCTGGTCCAAAGCCCATGAAGAGAGCAGTGTTGTAATTCAAGTCAGAGAGAACATCCAGTTCTAGCCATGTTAGTTATATTTTTCTCTTTCTGTAAACATACTGGGGATTTGTCTTCACTGCACAATACATAGCAGCACAAAGATACAGCCAAGCTAGCTCAGGTACCAGAAGCAGTGCAGCTCTGTTAGCATTAGAGCTCCATGTAGGTTAATATTCCTTCCTGAGAGAGGTACAGGCTATTGCAGTGGTTCTCAACCTTTTTTGTACCAGTACCCATTTGTAAGCATCAATGGCCAGTCCCAACCCAGTGTCCCTCATTCCTGACCCGCTACCCCCCCACCCTCAGGTCCCAGCCCACCAGTGCTGTCCATTTTATCAGAGAAAAAAAGGAGTCAGCAGCTAAGCTGCCCTGGGCTACAGGGGTTTTTGTTCCTGCCAGCAGCAAAATCAAGGGGGCTCCCCCAAAACAAGGCTGATATCCATAAAAAGGCTGGAGCATCTTTCAGCACTACTAGTCCAGTTCCAGTCCTGGCCAGAATCAGGTGACTTCAGAAACCAAGCAAGTTGGCAGCTGGCAGTACAGTGCAAGTTCTACATGCTGACCTGGGCGCGCAGCTAGAGAATACAGCATGTGACCTGCATGCAACAAAACCATCAACCCAAAGATGATGTCACCCAGCAAGGGTGCAGGGAAGGAGAGAGTACTTACTGCAGCTTCTGCCTCCT